AGGATGTGCCACGGCAGTGAAGCAGAGCTGGGATTCTCTCTAGAGGTGTTTGTGAGGGGTGCCCAGCCCTGCCCAGCAGCACGTGCCACAGCAGTGAAGCAAAGCTCGGCCGCTTCCCGTGCAGCTGCAAGTGCCCCGAGCAGCCCCGACCCCAGGGGAGCAGCCAGGGCCCCCCAGCTCACCACAAACACCCCCCGAGGCCCAGGCTGCCTCACATCTCACTGAGACACAGAGGGGAAAACTCACATTTCCTAGGAGATCACTCACCTGCCCCAGCCTCAACACTGCCCTTTCTCTCTCTGCCGAGACCTGTACAGTCCATAAAGGAAATCACGAGGGAATTGTTTTTTGCAGTGGATAATTTCAGTTCTTCTTCAAAGCAGCTCTGTCCTGTGCCCCACATGGGCCATGGGAAGGCTACTCAGAGGTGTAAATCAGAAGCAGAGAGGTTTAGGAGTGCAGGAATGGCCTGTCCATGGCTCTCCAGGGAGGTCAGCTCCAGTTCAGGAGCACCTACGCAAATAACTGCCAGGAACTGGGAGAGTGTTTCAGAAGGATCACTCTGGACGTGCTGCTGCCTTGTATTTTTTCCTTAGGCAAGAGGTGCTGCCGTGGTAACAGAAAGGATTCTGGCTTAACTAGAAGTGGTTGTGTGCTTTTTGCACCACTGAGCCTCTTGGAACATGCAGGTGAATTGGCTTGTGTGTATGAAGCAATAGGAATTTCCAACAAAACAACTTTTTATTGTGTGTGCGTGTTTTCTCATCTGCAGAGAAGAATAGCTGTGGTACCCTGCAAGGATTTGACTGAGCTGTGTATTTCACAGAGCTGACATTACTGCTGAAGACATTAACTTAGAAAGGCCTCGCTTTTTTCATGACTCACGCCAGAAACTATTTTCCCGTAGGTTTGTTCTGAGTGATTAAGATAGGTTTGCTTGCATATAAATGCTGTTCTACACATATAGATATATATATTACCTTCATCAGGGAAAGCTCCCACACTTTCCCTTGTTTATGCACATTATGCATAACATAGGTTCCAAGTTAAATGTCACAGCCCTTATTTACAAGGTAAGCAATGAAGATAACCCAATTTAAAACTCATTTTCAGTGCTGCCCATCTTACCCTTCATGGAGAACACTGGACAAGAGGAGTTGAGGCCACCACCCTGTCTGCTGTGAGCTTCCCAGCTTGTCCACCTGGGAATTGTAAAATTCCACGTACAGGTAGGAAATTACATTTAGTATTTCAGTCAGTGAGGTAGAAATGGGGGCAGCACCTCAGAAGCTGCTTCTCAACCACTCCCTGATTTTCAGCCCAGCCACATGGCACGTTTGGAGCTGTTGGAGCAGGCAGCAGGCTCCCTCAGAGCCCGAGCCCAGGCAGGGAACAGCGTGCTCTGGCCACGCTGCCTCCATCCTGCCTGCCCCAGCTCGCCCTGAACACCTTCCTGATTGCCCCAAAAATCCCTTCTTGCTACTCAAAGGATGCAAAGGGAACATGGAGCAAAGCACACAACAATTCTTCAGTCTCTGAAGCCGTTAAAAATATTTTGGATAAAGGTACATATATGCACAGCTGAGCTCCAGTGAACACCTTCTTGTTTCTCATGCTAATTTTATATTGTTCCTAAAGCAGAGCCTGATTTTTCTCTTTGTGAAAGGAGAATTTTAATCCTGGTCCTATTCATTAATCATATCAAAACCCAAGGTATGCAGATATTATTTTTTCAGTAATTTTAAGGTGCTGGTGTATTAGTAAAAGGTTAAGAAATGCAAAAGAGCTGTAAAGGGTTTGGGTTTTTTTCTTGAAGTGTTTGGTTTCCTCACATTATTGCAGACTACATATATCTTTATTTCTCAGTAAGAGCAGACTGTGGCCCTGAACCTCTACAATTCCAAATACAAGCAAAGATAATGACTTTTTAAAAGTAAAGAACAAATTGTTCCACAAAAAATGAGCACAATCACAAAAAGAAGCATAAACTTCTCCTGCCTAGTGGTGGCTTCCAAGACGTCAGACATTTTGTAAACCAGCAATCGGATCCAGACCACGCAGAATTGGGACGGTCCTGCTTTTCCTGTTCATTTTTCCACTATGTGAGTGTCCAAAACTCTCAGAAATAAAGGATTACTGTCTAGGGGTTCAGAAAGTCATATTTTCATAGACCAGTTCTTTCTGACAGGTAACCCCAGCAAGCACACAAGCAGTTCCATTAAATATCATGGCCTTAAGTTTAGAAATGTATCCCACATCCCAAGCCCAACTGTTTGTTTGTTTTCAGGAGTGTTTTCAGTGCTGCTGTGGCCCAGAGTTTAGATCAGTGGTTTAGCTGCCTACACCTCATTTCGAGGTTGTGAGCAAGAGACCCAGTTTGGTTTAGTGTTTAGCAAATTATCTTCACCCTTTTGCCACTAAATCACTGTACAAGCACAAGCAAACCACTCAGCTCTTCCTCTCCTTCCCCTTATTCAAATGTACCCAGACCATGACTTGTGAGATGACTGTGAGGAGTGAAGATCAGCCCATGAACATGGACAGAAAATTCTCCAACCAAGGTCACAGCATGAATTGTGAGTATAGAGATGAGATTTGAGTATTACCAAAATCTTTCTGGATGGAAGAAGCATGGAATGGTGCCTGTGGTTTTCTATCCAAAACAGCCAGAAAGAAATGCTGTTCCCCAGAACAGAAATCTGCTCAGAGATCACCCTGGTGTAATATGGACTTAGCAGGTCTGAGGCAAGTCCTTCAGCCTCTGGACTTACAAAATCTGCTGGGCAAAGAATTGGGAAAATAGAAAAAGATTATTTAACTTCACCCCATTTCAAAATGTATTAAGGATGTATTTCTGCGTTTAAAAATTTTATTTGACTTCCCCATCTGTGTTTCACTTGGTTCACACATTCAAGCCATTTTCTGGAGTTGTGAACAACAACTTTTAAATCAGAGTTCAGACCCTTAAATAATCATAAACTATCAGAAACTTGGCCTTTTCAGAAAAACACAAATATACAGCAAGTCAGTAACTGAGGCATCCTGCTTCTAGTGTAAATAGTATCAGTAATTTTATGTGCAGTGCTTTAGAGGTATTGAGGAGATATTTCCTTAAACGATGTTGGGATCATAATCTACAGGGGTTCCACATCTTTGTACTTCAGGCATCTCAACCAAAGCAGCCAAAAACTGGGTCAAGGCAACAATCCAAAATTTTAGTGGTGAGCCTCCAAAATTCAAGACACTCAGGGAATGCGTGTTGGGGAATAATATGAGAATGCTGCAGGAAAAAAAAAAAAAAAAAAGAAAAAAAAAAAAAGAAAGACATATTTAATTTGTATCCAATATTAATATTTCAAAAATTGGTACTGTCAGTTTGGAATAAAAGCCTGGGTTTGAAGTGCCTGTGAAAGGCAAGGCAGCCTCAGAACTCAGCCGCTGTCTGATGCCCTCGGTTCCCGGGTTGCCAGGAGGCACTGCGGAGGGCTGGCCGCTCCAAATCCACAGGCACCCACAGGGAGCTTTGGGATGCCGCTGTCGAGGAGTCTCCCCCGGGTTTCTCTGCATCCCGGAGCATGGGAATGTGGGTTGGCAAGAACCCCGCGTCTGGGAGCTGCCGAGCTGCCCCGCAGGCTTCCCAAATTCGGGCTCACCGCCGCCCCTTCTGATAGGATGGAGAAAACTGGGAAGCGTATCTCAGCTTGAAAACTCAGAATTCGGGAGCCAAGTCCCACAAAATTTCACCCTGTTGCTCCTGGGCAGCTGCTGCAGGGAGATGAGATGCAGCTGGAGCTGATAAAGGGAACCAGCCTGGTTGGGGGCACCTGCAGAGTCACCAGGTGCCTCTGAGACTCCTTGCTCAGCACCATTTTGGGGTAGTTTAACAGAGAACTGCTGCTTTGAGTAGCTAAAGTTTATAATTATATGTTTTTTTAGGACCTGGGCTGCCTTTCAGCATGCTTGAGACCGGGGAGTGTGACAACCCAGTCTGCCCAGTGATGGAAAGTTAGAAACTGGAAATGTACCTGGATGCCACCCTGAGTCAGCCCAAACCGAAGCATCTCTACAAAACACCTAGATGTGAACAAACTGCCGTCCTCTGACAAAAATATTCCGTCTGAGAATTTCTGACCAGCTGCGGCGGTAAACACCTCCAGGGTGTCCTTTTTGTCTGATACAGGGCAAAAATTATTCGGGTGCCTGTTGCTCGGGGTGGAAAAATGAGGGAATGGAATAGTAAATTAAAGGGGTTGGAACATAAAGCAGCTGATTGTCTGAGCACGGCTGGCAAAGCTGCGTTCAGGTATCTGTGTGAGAATGGACGAAATGCCCGTGGCAGGGGCCGCAGCCACGCTGTGGACCCTCTGGTCCCCTTTCCCTCACTGAGCGGATTTTACACTTGTGGGGCTTTACACTTGTGTTTATTTTCCTGCGTGCCCTCGGTGGGGTTTGTCCGGGCACCTCTCCTTGTCCTGCTCCTGGGCCTTTCTGCCCTCGCCGTGGGCCCCGCGGAGCGCGATCCCCTCGGGGAGCCGGGGCCTCCGCGGGCGGCGATGGAGGCGCGGAGTTCCCGGCGGGCCGGCCGCCTCCCCGCCCTCCTTCCTTCCATCCTCCCTCCCTCTCTCCCTCCCTCCCTCGGCGGCGTGTTTGGGAGGGAAGGAGGGGGTGGAAGCCGGGCCGGGGCGGCCAGCAGGCAATTTGCATGAGAGACAGACTGGGAATGAGCTGGAGTGGGCGCCTCTCCGCGCACACAGAGCGGGGCAGGAGGGGGAGGAGGAGGGAGCTGCCGCCGCCGCCGCCGGGGAGAGGCGGCGAACTCCGGGCAAAGTTTGGAGCCGCGGGCCCGCGGCGCTGAGGCAGCGGCGGGCGGGGAGCGGCCGGGCCGGGCCGGGCAGGGCCGCGCGGTGTGAGGCGGCGGCGGCGGGCAGAGCGCGGGGGGCGGCGGGCAGAGCGCGGAGCCGGCGGCGGGCGCTGCCGGCACAGCCAGCATGTCCTCCATCCTGCCCTTCACTCCTCCCATCGTCAAGCGGCTCCTGGGCTGGAAGAAAGGCGAGCAGAACGGGCAGGAGGAGAAATGGTGCGAGAAGGCGGTGAAGAGCCTGGTGAAGAAGCTGAAGAAGACGGGGCAGCTGGACGAGCTGGAGAAGGCGATCACCACGCAGAACATCAACACCAAGTGCATCACCATCCCCAGGTACCGGGGTGCGGAGGGCGCGGCCCCGGGGCCCGGCGGGGTGCGGGGGAGCAGCGGGACCCTCAGGGACCCCCGAGCTCCGGCACGGCCGGGACAGGGCTCGTTCGGCGTCCCGGCCCTGCCGCGCTCTGCGGTGTTGGTCCTCTCTCTGCTCCTTATCTAGTTCAGAAAAACCCCGTAACTGGCTACAGAATTGAATTACTCTCTAGTAACCAGAGAGAAAACGTAGTGGAGAAAATATGCCTCGGGCCGAGATCATAAAAAAGAAAAAAAAAAAGTTGGAAGCGCTGCGGATCAGTTCCACTCACTGAGGGTGCTCTCATTGTCAGAAGTTTCAGCGTGTTCTCAAGTGCTGTTGCATTACGATTTTCTTGTGATTAGTGCGTCAGGAAAACGGTTTTGTTTGGGTTGTTTGGCTTCTTCCTTATTACTCCTCTGAAGGGGTGATTTAGAGCCCTGCTCTGCTGATGTTTTCGAGTTACTTTTTAAATCGGGAATGCAAATGGCAGAGTTGAAGGAGGTCGTTCGGAGTGCAAAAACACCCCACACATGTGAGGGTGAATAGAACTGATTTTTTCCTCCATTTTTTTGAATGAACATAGATTTTATTTTTAGTCTGCATTCCGAACTCGATCCATAGGGCCATCATAAATCATAAAAGACGTGTATAAAACTATCCCACCTAAGAATAATTTTCCAAGTAACTTTCAAATGGCTGCCCACAAGTGGTGTTTTATTGCTGCAGATTGTTGATTTCTCTGAGCTCAGCCAGATGACTGCTGGGTCTGTTCCTGATTGTTGTTTGAGAGTACTTTTTTTTTTTTTAAAGCAAAGGCCAAAGTTCATTCCAAATATTTGAATGCTGCATAATTGTGTGCTTCTGCGTGAGAAGATATCTGTGTGTGTGTGTGTATTCATGCTTCTCTCTGGCACAAACAAATGTATGCTTTCTTGGTTGTCAGAATGATTTAATATGCAGGAGCTGATACAAAGCAGCATCTGTTGCATGAAAAAGTGAAGCAAGTAGCTTAGAAATGTGGATGTTTGGAGCTCCTAAAATTTTCTCCCAACAACTGCAGTGTTTTTTTAAAAGGAAAAATAAAGCCTCCTTATCTTTTTTGGTGCTGAATGACTGTGGCTAAGATTATGGCCAGTAATGCAAATGAGAGCTCTCAGCCTTTGTTAGAGTTGCTCCGGCTTCTACTTGAAGCAGAAATCAAAACCTGTAGATCCACCACACAATACAAACGCCTTAAAACCTATATTTTTAAAGTTCTTGGTGAGCAGCTTGCTTTCCACGTACTTAATTCACTGTTTAAAGCACTTCCCTGAAATATGTGCCATTTCAAAAGAAGAAGATTGCTGGAGCAGCCCTGCTGCTGTGACCTGGGTATTGTGTCTGGCTGATGCTGACCCGTTAGGGAGCAGAGCATGAAGGCCCCTGGAACTTCTGTGACTCCTAACGAGGTGGTTTAGATAAGGAAGGATTTGCTATTTTATGATTTAAAGGAAGAAAAGAGTTGGGCCAAACACAATGCTTTATTAAAGAAAAGAAAGTAGAGGTTGAAAATAAATAACAACACAAACATATATCACAAGTGATGAATACTCACCTTCAGAGATTGCCCTGGCTGTTCCTCCTCTATTAATGAAAATATGTGCAGAAATTAAAACATTTCATGTTCATTTATGACACTGAGCCTGGATGCTGCAGATCTTACACCTCGGTATGGGGGAGGCATCAGCCTGTTTGGTGGGAGCCCCTTGTAGCTTGGCATTATTTTTAAACACAACTTCATGTCTGCTTCTTTATTGTTTAGAAATGACCGTGGTTAGGTTTTCTGCATTGTGATGTTCACATCTGTGTGTCAGAGGTTGGGGAATGCAGCGTTGAAAGATCTCTCTGAAGTCAGTGCAGAGCTGCAGCTCTGACCAGGCCTTGTGACTTTAAGAGCTGTGCCTTTTCCTCTGGGCTGCACTGCTTGTCCTAATGTATCTGTGAATCTGATTACTGTGTCATCTGAAATTAGTGTTTGCAAGACGATTTTAGCCTGGTTTTAGTTTGCTGTTTGTTATTTTCATTTAATAATTTTAACGTATGTCATTTTACTATTTACTCACATAATATGTTGGGGAGGGGGGAGAGGGGGAAAAGCATCATTAAGGATTAGCTCATGTTGTGCATTGTCTGTAATGCATCAGTAGACTGAATTACAGTGGAGCCATGCCAGTGATGACTCTGGCCCAGCAGGAGCAGGGTAAGTCCAAAATTAGCTATTGTATCCATGAGACAGAGCAAGTTTCACATGGAAAAGGGCTCGAGCTTTGCAGAAACGTTGCTTGTGGGAATGAGGGCTATGCAGCAAATTCCTGGACTGATCAGGTGGGATTGTTTGAAGAAAGGACAGGAAAAAAATATTTGTTTTGTTGTAGGGCTGAGGAATTAGAATAACAAATGTATTCCTGCTGTCGTGTTTATCTGCTGGGATCTGGAAGCATGTACTGCATGCTATCTCCTAACAGATTAGTAAACAGGGATTAGTTTATTTGCTTGTGTATTTGCTCAGCGTGTGTTATTTCTCCAAGTGCTCAATTTCTGAGGTGTGACAGACACCCCAGGTTTTCTGCTGGGAGAACCTGTGGCAGACAGCAAAAGGCTGGAGAGGCCTTCAAGGGTTTCAGTGTGACTCTCCTGGCAAGAAGGATTTTTCCTTCTTGTTTTTACTGCTGGAGGAGGAAGTCATTTCCACCTGCCCAACTCTGGTCTCAGACCATCTGATGGTTTCTGGTGCTGCTGCTGCACAGGGGAGCTCCTTCAGAGCTCTTCCTTCCCTCCTGCTCTGGGCACAGCTGCCAAGGCCCATCCTGCCCCAGCAGGACCTTTCTTTAAACCTTTGTGCCCTTTGGTGTCAGAGCTGACCTGGTGAGTCCGGGTCTCCCTGGCAGAAAGGTTTTTTCATCCTCTATTGGGTGATAAAAGTTGAGAGCACACATTCTTCTGCCCATTAAAATGCATCCTTTGTCACAGTTGCTTATCTTGCAAGCCCAGCTTTCAGGATGAGCATTTTTATCACTTTTCAGACCAAGCTGGGCACAAGTGTGCCATTAACACCTACCCAGCACAGGCAGCTGGGTGTTTGTGGCTTCCCTGCTTTGCTCTGTGAGCAGGCAATGATCTGCTCCAGCTGCTCGCAGGATTTTGGTGCCTCTGTTCTCTTCAGAGACCCAAAAACGGGGTAAGAATGGCCCCTACATCTGACATTCGTACAAACCTGCAAAAATCTGAATTTCTAGCACTGTTCTGAGCAGAAGTGAGGCCGCTTTGTGCACCTGAGAAACCAGCAGCTTTGCCCTGGAAATGAAGTGTGATGAGTGTTCAACTCAACATTTTTAGGGTCTGATCTGCAGAAACCAGACACGTGATGGGAACTCAGTAATTTCTACAAGCTGGGCAGTACCTGTAGTCCTGCTTTATGAGATAGAGCTTTGTTTCAAGAGCTTTAGTGGTGCTACATACACAGACATAAATCTCCTGACGTTTTGTAATATATTTTCATATGCACATTTTTCTTTTGAACTCATTACTGTATTTATTTGTTTTGGTATCACCAGTGGTTTTAGGGGAGCCAGGATTCCTGTATGGAAGGAACACCTTCTTTTAAGTGGTGGGTTGTATTTTTTTTTTTTTTTAATTTAGAAAACAGTTTTGCAGAGAGGTGGGTGTTACTTCTTTTGGAACTCATCTGATAAGGGCAGAATGTACCAATTAAAATGGAAACATGGCACATTTGCTTCTTAAAAGCCACTGAGCAAGGTGTTCCTTAAATGATTTACATTTTGGTGGGGAAAACCGGGAATAATACACAGGGAACTTAATGAATAAGGATAATAGGGAAGGAACATAAATATTTCAGAAACATCGTGGGTGTGAGCGCAGCTTCAGTTGTGTTGGTTGTTGACCACACAATATTTACAGGACTTGATCATGTTCTTAGGTTTGAGTTGATACCAGGAAAATAGGAAAGCTGTGAGGATGTGAAGTGGCAGAGGCTGTCTGCAAGACCCCGAAGGATGTTGTGTTTCACATCATGGTGTGATTTTGGGGGCATTGGACTTGCTCCTTGTGGGTCCCTTCCAGCTGGGGATATTCTGTGATTCCACACTTCTTTTGGGGCTGCACATCTGATGCAGTAACCAGCAAAGGATCAGTCACAGCTCTGTGTGTCCATGTGAAATTTATTTATTTTTCTATGCCAGTTTCAAGCTACCTTGTTTTCAGTGTTTTGTCCCTGAGTGTGAGGAGCTTTAATATTTCATGGCCTTGCCTGGGAGCGCCTGCAGGGGCTCAGCCCTGGTGTGCAGGGTGGTTACAGCCCAGTCCCCGTGTGCAAACACCTCAGGCTGCCATCCTCCTGCTCAGCTCCATCTGCTGGGATTTTCCTGCTGCAAAGCCGTGTCAGTGACCTCTGTCCTGCCCGAGCTTCATGGGCAGGGTTTACAGCCCTGCCCAACCTTTGTGCTGCTGCAGTGCCCTCACCAGCCCGGCTGCGTGGCCTCTGTGGGACAGGCAGGACGGCTCTGCAGGTGAAGGTACACGGAGTGCACATGGGCCTGAGCCTGACAGGGCTCCTGGAGTGCTGGGCCCTGCTCCTGGCACAGGGTGTGACTCCTGGCATGGTCCTGTGCAGGGCAGGAGTTGGACTGTGTGATCCCTGTGGTGGCATGGGGCTGTGCAGGGCAGGAGTTGGACT